GGGACAGCAACACTTTAGTTTATTTGGGTGGATTACATAAAGGTATTGTTTTCGAGTCCTACAAAATGGTCACCTACCACATTTGTGTCATTGAGATTAATTGATATACATACAAGCTTGTTTGAACACCCTGATTAAAAAAAAAAAAAAAAAAAAAAAATTGGCTCAGAAGCCACAAAGTGGACCTAATTCTGGTAAAATTTTCACAATTTTCATGAAACAAAAATTCTCTCAAGGGTTCCTAAATAACAAAATATCTCATTAGTGAACCGTTAGTCTATCATTAAAAGTTACATAATTAAAAGTTATCATTTTGCCATTTATTATAACACTTAAAACTTAACGGTAAATAAATTTTTATTATTTAATTAAACTTCCGGAGGTTAATCTTAACTCTTAAATTTATCATAGATATATGTAAATTTCATATATTGATATTGTTGTCACCAAGAGGGAGATGAGTCATTTATGACAAGCTTCGAGCTACCAAAAGACAAGGGAAAAAAAAAATCTTTGTGGCCCAATTGTATTCCAACCTAACTATAAAATCCAAACATTTAAGCCCCTCAAAGATCTATATGTCATGGGATTCACCCACGTGTGTGCTATTTCTATGAGATTTTTGTAATTTTAAAGGTATATAATATTTTTTTATTTTAATAGTTTATTTCATTTACCATTGACGTGTTCACCATCTCTGAGAATTACTAAAAAAAAAATTAAAAACCATATAATTAATAGTGAATATGTTTCATATTAACCGATCTCAGAAAATAAAAAATAAACCTATCTATAAAGTTTACATATTTGATACTGTTAATATACGACAATGTTAAGAAAAAATCTACATTATAATATATGCTTTGAGGGTTTAGTTCACTTTATCTAAAGTGCTCAAGAATATTACTCTCTGTCTTGGGTTTGATTAATATTATACGCAAAAAAATCTAGAATTAATTATACAATATTCTCATTCCCATCATGTTCTGTATTTGATTTAATAAACTTTAGTCACATAATATAATATAAGATTATGATATTAAATGTTGTGAGGCTGATAGAGTGTGACAAATTAAGTAATGTGTGGTTGGCAATAGCCTGAAATGACCAAATTGACCTTGTAAAGCAATAATAGAGTTTAAATAAAGACAACCCATTTGACTCCAAATTAATTGGATCTCTTCATAATAATTAACCAAAATTTAAGGAGTTATTATCGCTAATCACTTTTATTTTTATTTTTTTTGGGATAACTGGGGTGTTTGGGATTTTTTTTTCTTTTTTGTCTTTTTAATATTGTCTTTTTAGGATTGAAATTGATTGAGACCTAACATTGTTCAAATTATTAATTAATCTAAGTTAATTAATAGGCTAAATGTGTAGAAACATAGTTGGAACTTGGAATTTATGTGCAAAAATTGAAAATAAATTCTTAATAATCTTTCTATATGATATGGGATAGTATCGATATGGCGAATATTGATAACCATTTTGAATAAGAAAAAATAATTCAAGGTAAAAAAGAAAAAATTAATATTATTTCTAAATTTTTTTAATAATTATTTGACAAAATTTCAACATCCAGATTAAATAGAAAATTGTTTTATAATGGTCAATGTCATTGAAAATAATGCAAACTAAATTATTCACTAAAGATTAAATAGAATTTTTTTTAATTAATTCATAGTTTCGAATGTCATTTACTCATTTAATATTTTATATTTTTTTTAATTTTAATATTTGTATGAGATTTTTGTAATTCTAAAGGTATATAATATTTTTTTAAGTGTATTTATATTAAACGATGGGGTAAATGAGATAAACCCATCTAACTTATTTCAATTTAATTTAAAAAAAATTATTAGACCTTTGTTCTATTGTATATAATCTTAATAAATATTGGTATTTTGAATTATTCTTAATGTATAATATTCAGCTTAAGATCATATGAGTTGACATATAATCTTTTGACTTTAATTCTTTACCCTAATAAGAAGAAGAGTCAAAGAATTTGATCCACGAATTCAATTCCCAGTAGGTTCAATATAAATTAATCTCTTAATTATAATAAATTATTAATAATTTGTTTAAGCATAATCGACCACAGCCACCACAAGAGATTTATTCTTTATGATAACCAATTTACTATCACCATCCTCATTCAAAAATTGATAACAAAAATAAACTCTAAATTATAATATCAAGAAGGTGACTTGACTTCTGTTTGGGTTGAGAATTTTAAATTATTAAATTATAAATACCCATTTATTATATTAAAAATAAATAAAAATTATATTTTTTTTATAATTAGGGTGTTTGGGGCCAGTTTATGCGTATTTTAACTAATTTCGGGGTGTCTCCTACAACAAGCCCAATGAAGACTCGAACATAAGACCTCTGGATGATCCAAACAGATATTTAAAGTTTTGCTGTCCAACCATAAGGGTAATGGTTAAAAAAAAAAAAAAATACCTTATATTTATATATAATTATTCTCTATTTATGTTACTATAATTGATGAACCATGATTAAATTATATAATCTCATTTAATATTATCATAAAAAATAACTCTTAATAGCTAAGTTTCTATTGCTTTTTCCATTAGATCTGTTGATATAAAAATCTGCACCAACCAGCGTGATCCATTCGACCTAATCGGGATCGAAACTGAAGTGCGCGTGGTTACGGGTAATCAGTGATGAGTGAATGATAACGCCAGAAAGTAAATGACAAAGAGAACTTTTAATGTGGTTCGGCAAAGTTAACAGCCTACGTCCACTGTGTTTTTTGTATATGTTGTGAGAGCTTGCAATGTAGTTTCAATCTATAATTCGTATCCCCCTTCTCACCGTTTTAGGGAGTTTACATACAAGAATTACATAAAGGAAAGAGTAAAATTAAGGGGATCACAAATCATTTGAATAACAATTATGACATCCTTGTGATTGAGCGCTATGATTGTGCAATGATAACTATTGATTTAGTCATTCTCGTGATATCTGGGATCTGAAGTAATCTGGAGATTGATTGATTGATTCTTGGGATTGTCTGTGACTAGCTTGTGCTTGGTCGAGCTACCGCTCGACGGGTTTATGCTGGGTCAATCAATCATAATTGCCGAGATCATTCTAGGCCAAACTATATCCTCGCATTGGCCCGAGCTTGACGGGAAAACCATATACAACAAGATATATTACTTTTCATAGCAAATTTGCATGTGTTGTAAAAAAATGTTTTAATTGGGTAATTCCATGTGTTAAAAAGATACGACATAAAAATTTGTGTTACTATAATAATATCACGACACTTGTATCAACTCTCTCTCCATCTATCAATATTTGGTTCCTAAATATTTATAAATTAGGATTGGTCTACCGACTAAACTGATTTAATAACGTTATTGATCATATTATACTATTATAATGTTATGAATTATAATAGATATTTTTCGATCAATAATAACAGATGAAAAAAGCTTCATTATCAAAACCTCTTCTCTATCTCATGAACATTATCTAATCATAAATGCAATATTGTTTTGCTAAATAGAAAAGAGGAAGTTAATAACTAAAAAGATAATAATTACAATTACGTTTATAACCTCCCGATGGATCAATACCTAATCTCTTGTAAGTTTGGATAAATCCAAAAACTAAATTCATTTAATGAGATTATTAACCAAAATTATAATAATCGATTCATTTTCAATCAAATAATAATCGAAATTTCTTTCCGATTTTTAAACGTTATTGGACCGTTAATGTTATGATAAGAAGAAAAGAGGAAGTTAAAGGTTAAAAAGGTAACGTTGCGGTGGAGAGGGTGGAGTGGAGACAGCTAGCAAAAGGACATAGGGCCACGGAACCTTAAAGGGTAAAGGTCTCGACAGACAGAACAAGGCGAAAGCGTGTTGCGGAGGGCAATCTCGTAATTAAGAAACAAAGACAAGCCCATATTAGTAATTAAATATCAAAACTTTTAGCGGTCATTTAATATCTCTAACCTTTCGTTAGATGACAAATACATTCTCATAATTTCGAAAACCATCAAAAGACCCCCTTATAGTAGGAATACGAGTCTTTTCACCATATGAACTAAATTATCCTTTTATAATACGATCTTCATAACTAAGTAAATACATTTTTCACACTTAAAAACAAATATCCCACCCTCTAATAGTAGGAACATGCATCTTCTCACCATATAGAGAAAATTATCCTTTTACATTACCATTTTTATAACTAAATAAACGCATCCAATACACTTAAAAATAAATATCATCAAGAATATTAAACACAGTGAAATAAACGATTTTTTTAGGGATATCTTGGTCTCCATGAATCAAAGTTGGCTAATAGGACAAGAAATATTAAAATGTCTTCTTACTCAACATCAATATTAATATCAATTATATTTAACGTCTTTTTAAAAGAATTTAAAATTTTAAATTACCCATTAAAAATAATTTTATACTATTTGACATATTCTCACTTAATAGGCTGAATTATTCTTTCATAGTATTATCTTCATAATTAAGTAAACGAATTTGACAAATTCAAGATAAACATCTTCTTTTGTTATAGTGCTCAATATAACTCGATTTACTCAACAATTATGTCATCTGAGTGTGCATCTTTTTTAAGGCAATTTTTGTTCCATGCATCAAAGTTGGCTAATAAGTAATAACACAAGAAATATATATTTTTTTTTCTTAGTTCACTGTGATTTAACAATATCCATGGGGGCTTTTGGAAATCTTTCAAAAATATCGGGATCTTAATGATATTAATCTAAAGTTTAAGAACCTCAACAAATTTATGCTTTGCCTCTATTGGTTGCATGAAATGTCAGACACGAATCTGTATCTTGCTGTCATTCTGCTGTTGCTTTCCTACAGTTCGAGCTTTGCAGTTCCAACTTTAAAAGCGCTTCTACCTCAGAAGCTCATCTTTCTCAAATTCCAAAAGCTGTTCTCTCGCTGTCTCCAATTCTTCATCTTCATCTTCATCTCTGTCTCTTTTTCTACCTTCTCTCGTGCTGTGCTTCACCATAAAAAGCCAGCTTTTTCATCTCTTTCTCCATCAACATTTAAGCGTATAATCAGCTTTTGCTTATTCCCTTTAAGCTTTTAATGGAGGATCGTAAGGAGGTAATTCATTCTCTCTCTGTGTGTGTTTGTTTCTCCTTTCTTTTCTTGTTCTGGGGTGTTTGTTTTCTGAGAAAAAAGCTCAAGAAAGTGAATGAAAAACATGTGTTTTGAAGTAGTTTGGTTCTAGAGAGCTGCAGGAGTGCTTCTGAATGGAAGTGCTTATGATTTCGATTTTACTCTTCCTCTTGGAAAATGAATTCCCCTTTCTTTTCTTGCTGTTGGGATGTTTGTTTGCTGAGAAAAAGCTGAAAAAAGTGAATGAGAAACATGTGTTTTGAAGTACTTCGGTTTTAGTTTACCTTCAGAGAGCTGAAAATGTGCTTATAATTTCGATTTTACTGTTTCTCCTGGAAAATGGATTCTCCTTTCTTTTCTTGTTATCTGGTTGCTTGTTTGCTGAGAAATAAGAAACATCTGTTTTAGTTCTGTTTACTTTCGCAAAGAGAGCTGCAAAAGCTCTTCTGAATGGAAGTGCTTATGAGTTTATTTTTCTTCTCTTTCTCTAGAAAATAAAATTCTGAGCTACCAAACAGAGATGTGATCAAAATTTTCCTTCTGATTTCAAGCCTTACATGGTTAAAAATTTCACCTTTAAAAACCATATGAATCTGAAGTTTTCACCTTAATTTGGGTTTCATTCATTACATGAAATTATTTTTTTTCAAAATAAGTAACAATCTCTATTTTCTTTGAATTTGATTGGCTGTTCCTACTTTTATTTGCCTTTATTTTGGTCTACAAAAGCGAATTTTCTTTTAATTTTCTTTTCACCCTTATTGATAAACTCAAGGAAGCAATCATCTCACTCTGTCAAAGCTGAGAATCAGTCAAAGCTGCCACCTTTTTTGTTATTTGAATTAAAAATTCAATTTGAGCTTTAATTTTCTCTTGCAATCTCGGATTTTGTGTCATTGGATCTTTGAGATTCAAGGAATTTTGCCCTTCTGTCACAAATCTGTGTTCTTGAAATCACATATTGTTTTATTAAATTAATACTGCTTCTTGGTTTTTGTGCATTTCTCATGGGTTGAAAATGCATTAATGGAGGTTGAATAGTTCTGGAGATCATAATCAGATGGGGTATTTTAAGTTATAGCTTTTGACTTATAGAAAAAAGCACTTTTGGATGCATTGGAAGTTGATTCTTTTGATGTAATGCAGAAAAATGCTCCATGGCTATCAGTGCCGCAATTTGGGGACTGGGATCAGAAGGGACAGTTGCCTGATTACTCCATGGACTTCTCCAAAATCAGAGATATGAGGAAGCAAAACAAGAGAGATGTCTCAAGAGCAAGTCTTGGAAATGAAGAAGACTTAATTAACCCAACAGCCACCACCGCTGACACCACCCAAAATAGCCACCATGATCAGCGGCAGCAGCAGCAGCAGCAGCATTATCATCAGGGCCACCACCACTCTCCCACTGTAAGATTCTTTGGCCTGCATAGCCTTGTTCAATGTTGAGCTTTTATGGAAACATATCATGATATTATTAACTCTTTAGAATGTGGCATAACATGTTATAAATCTGAAGTTCTATGTCACAACTCATATTTACTTGTTATACGTGCATCTTATTGCAACGTAGGCAAAAGGCGTGTTTTCGATAGGTTACTACTTGTTATATGTCGGACGGTTATGTTCTGATTCAAATTTGTGTGTGTTGCGTGTGTCTTATTGCAACATTTATGTTGCTTAGGCGTCTGCAACATCCATGGTTGATGGCACAGACTATACCAATTACTGACTATACTGTTATAAGTTTGACGTTCTATGTTACAATTCAAATTTACTTATTGTGCCTTATTGCAACCTTTATAGACTATACCAATTACTGATTATCCTGTTATAAGTCTGACGTTGTGTGTTACAATTCAAATTTACTTGTTGCGTGAGCTTTATTGCAACCTTTACGTTGCTTAAGCGCGTGGAACATTTAAAAATCTGATGTTCTATGTTACTACCCGTTGCGCGTCTTATTAAAACTTTTGCGTTGCTAAAGTGTTTGCAACATCAATCCATGGCGAAAGTGGTGTTGTCAATAGAGTACAACTAATTGTATTAGGTAAGTTTAGATATGAAAAAAATGGCCAAAACAAAAAACATTAGTCAAAGGCATTCACGAGCTGTGATGGTGGTGGGGTAATTGCTTAGTTGTTGCCTATTAAATTCTGGAGGTCGATTTCAGCCGGTTAGTAGGTAGCAATTAACTTATAGCATTCTCTTTCTTTTATAAGACAGTTAACTTATAGCTTGTTGCACAGCAGATTCAGGGGATTTAGAACCTTATGGTCCACTTTTTGTATAAATAATTTGAAATAAGTTTGTTTATTATGTATTTGGTTGTCGTATCGCAGGTAGTAACATATGAATACTCATATGATATGTATTGAGTTGTTTGTTTATTTGCCCATGTCAAATATAAAATTCTAAGCTTGCCATAAGTTGAGCACTAGTTGGATATCTTGGAAATTATTTATCAATTAGATTGTCCAGAAGAAGCCTGGTAGCTGCTGAGTGTAAAGGAAACGGTCCCATGTGATTCTGGAGGCTTAATCTTGATTAAACATGTGGGGTTCTAAGGATCTGAGGCAGAACCAACTAGCCATTTTAGAATAGGATATTATCAATTTAGGTACAGCGGCATTTTAAAAACTTACTTAAAAAGTACACAAGAGTTATAAATCGTTCAATACAACTCATAGAATTCAAGTGGTAGGTTAAAAATTTGTCTGGAAAACTTTTTCTTTGCAAAGTTAGTTGTTTATTACCATTATACCTAGTAAAGTCTAACGTGTTTTACCGTTAGTTTGTACCTTTATTGAACGATCTGTAACTTACGTGTAAGAATGTGATTAAACATGTGAGGTTCTAAGGATATGGAGTAGAGCCAATTAGCCATTTTTTAAATCTAGAATTTTTATGTAAGAGATTTGTCATTGACTTGTCATGATAGAGATGTGTTCCCAGGAGGAAAGGGAACTTGGAGGCATTAATTTTTGTGAGCTCTTGATAAAAAATTTATAGGCCACAAGTTCAAATGGTGCTCATGTCCCAGCTGTTCTTAGCCATAAATTTTGCACATTGATTGTTTGCATAGTCTTGTGTACAAGAAGATATTTGTATCTTTCCGTATTTGGAGAAACCCAAATGGCGAAAACGAAAGAGATGGAGTTCTTGAATTTGTCTTAAGTACTTTGATGCATATTTGACAAGAGATTGTGGAGTAGTTTAGGCCACATGAATGAAATTTCTTTAAATGTTGTGGTCCATCATCCCAAAAGGAAATAGTATCCTATATGCATTCCGGGATTCTTACGTAAGAAATCCGCTAAAAAATAAAATTTTAAAGAATCAAGATGTCCGCATAAGAGAATGATCGCATAACATATATGAATCCGATGATTAGAATCCACACAAAACCATGAAGAATTTGAGATGATAATCTTGTATAGGAATCTAATTTTTTTTTTTTTTTTATATTTTTGTGATTAAAGTTTTTGTTTTTGTTTTTTTGACAGACAAGGAGGAGCATTCTCAGCTACTTCAACTGTTGTGTGAAAGCCTAAAGAAAGCAAAGCAATGCCATTTTTTTAGATGGTTTTGTGAAGTTTGTGTAATGAAAATGAAATGAAGAGTTGAATCAATCCACTTTTTTTTATGTTTTTTTGTTTAATTTCTTTTCTTCCACTCTTCTCCTTAATTGGGTTCTCTCTTCTTCTTCCACTCTTTTGTATTATTAATTGTTGCTCTAATTCTCAAGTTGATGGATTTCTTTTCTGATGAAATTCCAATTATGAAGAGATGGAATTCTCGATTCCCCGATAAATACAAATGGAGTATCTTTCTTTGTTCATGAATTACTTTGAGAACCGTGGCAGTGGATTATTGTGAGATAACTTTTTCTAAAGATTAGTCGTGCACGTAAACTGATTTAGACACGTCATTTAACAAAAAAATAAAAAATAAAAAATCAACATCTCTTTTCTTGGATGAGCCTAGAGCTAGAAGGTTTAATTTTGGAATTTTATTTTAACATAATTTAAAAGAAGACAATGAAATTAATATTCTATAGTGTATTAATTTAATAATATATGGATTGTGTTTAAATTTAAATAAAATTAAAAAATAAAGTTGATCTTATAAATATCATAATTACATCTTGCTTTTTATGTTATTTATATTCATCTTTGTATTGATCTTAAATAAATCTATGATCTTAAAGACATATATTTGTGTCTTATTAGTGGATGAAAAGAAGATATTAAAAAAAAAGAAAAAATGTTTTTTTTTTTTCTCATAACTTTTGAACTTAAAAAGTATTATACATAATAGAGTTATTGATATTTTTATAAAGAAATTTTTAATAATTTCACAGAGTTTTTAATAGTATGAGAGGGTGTTTATAATATTTTTATAAAGAATTTTTTTAATAATTTCATTGAGTTTTTAATAAATGAGAGGGTGTTTAATTATTTCAAGAATATACTAATAATTTCTTATAATTGTGGGTGTATTTTAAATTAATTATTGTATAAAAATATGAAAAATTATATTGAATAACCCATTTTTGGGATTTTAGTTAAAAAATAGGCTATTTCTAAAGCCTTTAATAAAATTACTATATTCTAAAATTCCTTTTTTTTTTAGAGATTTTCACAAATAAATCATTTTTCAATTCACACACACACAGAAAAAAAAAAAAAAAGGTTATTTATATAATTTCTTATAAAAAAAGATTATTTAATATAATTATATTAAATAAAAAAGTTTATTTAATATAATTTACTATAAGCATTTTTGTATATTTAGCTTTTTGAGACATAATTCAACAGCATAAACGACAAGACAAATCTAGACTCTTCAAGTCGACTCTCCCGCCTCCTTAGTACCCTCCTCCTGCTCGGCTGTCTCCGTAGTTCCCTCCTTCTGCTCGGCTGCTTGGGTCTCCGTCTCCTGTCTCCGTTTCCGCCGCCCCAAGCCTCCACACTTAGTAAGTCTACTTTTTTCTTTTCTTTGTTGTTGGTATTCATTGATTGATAAATGAGTTCAAAGTTTTTTACTTTTATTTTCTTTTAATGATAGTATTTTTGTTTTCCTCAATTTTTCGAGGCATTAACTCCTTCACAAGCTCCTAGATTTTTTTTATTTTAAATGTTTTATTTTTCATTTTAAAGCAAAACCCGGCTGGTTGATTGAGCTTATTGTGCGCTTTTGAGTACAATTAATCAATGGTTTAGTTTTACTTGCATGAAAAATCAAAATTTTCAATACTCAATTGAAAATTTGTTCGAATAATAATTTATCCTCTGGTGCTGTATGTTTATTTGTTATCAAAGAGACTGGAGCTCTTATGATCTTCTGTACCACTTTATTAATTTTACTGATTAAACAGTTTTTTTTTTTTGGGTTAATTTTTCTAAGTTTTCAGTGCTTAAAGCTACTAAAAATGATAGTTTCTGTTGGAGATAGCTTAATGTTGCTATAAGTTTTAGTTACTCAAAACTTATGGTTCGAGTAAAGGAAATGGATGCTTAAGTTTTGATTTCTATGATTGTAGTTCCAAAAAAAACCTCAATTGCTGGAGATGGCAGTCGTGTTCGGTGATCTTAACTCAGCCTCTGGTTTGAAGAAACTTGATGAGTACCTTCTGACTCGCAGTTATATTACTGGGTGAGTTCTATTTTGTCCCATATATGTCTGTGTCCTCCCAAGAATAGTGATGGTAATGATGGTTACTTTCGCCTGAAGAATTTTAAGCATTTTGCTGTGTTGCTCCTATCAGGTACCAGGCTTCAAAGGACGATATTACAGTTTATGTAGCTCTTTCAAAGGCACCGTCGTCTGAATATGTGAATGTGTCTCGTTGGTACAACCATATTGATGCACTTCTAAGGATTTCGTAAGTTCTCTTTTATTTGGTTGTTTCTCTGAAATAAGTTTGCCAGTGTTGTTTGAAGTTCTGTTTAACGATGGTGATGATTTTTAAGTTTCTTATACATGCCCTTGTTTCATTTTTTCAACGATCGCTTGTTTTGCGTATCTATTTCACTAACTTCGACAATATTGCCATTTAAGTGGTGTTTCGGCAGAAGGGTCTGGTGTCACTGTAGAGGGATTTGCTCCTATCACAGAAGAGGAGATTGCAACCCCTCCAGCAAAGGCAAGTAGTGTTCTGTTTTTATAACATGGAACTGCCTGTATATCTTTACTATGTAATTGCATCGTGCCATTTTGTTTGACAGTCGTGCAAACTGTAACACCCACATCAAGGTATGTAACTTTATTTATGTCCTAATATCCTTAGTTGAATCTTGTTAGTGTTATCTTAGACAAGTATGAAAGAAATTCTTTAAAATGTTATTAGGGGTAAAATGGTCATTTTACTCGTAATTAGATGAAATAGTGGAGAGTGAAAAGAAGTAGAATAACATGAAGAAGATAATAGAAATGAGGGCATTCTTGTAATTAATTGAGGGACATAGATGGAATTTTTAGAAGTGCAAGGATAAAATCAGAATCTATATATATTATTATGTAATATTAAGGATTCACGAGAGGAAACCCTAGCCATTCCACCCTTGTACATGCCACCCTTCACCCCGAAAGCTCTCAAATTTTCTTCAACCAATTTCAAGGAAATTCATAGAATTTGGCTTAAATTTGATAGATTTTCAATCTTAAGCATTCATAGGTAAGATTTTAATACCAAGATGTGAGATTAAATTTTAAAGTTTTGAATTCTTATGGTTTTATATGCTTAGGGTTTAAAAGGAAGAGAGTTCTACCAAAGGGAGGTTATAGTGTTGTTGTTGCTCAAATTTAAGTAAATCCAACTCTAGCTTTGATTTGATCCATAGTTGTGTAGAGTAATTTCTTGTGTGTTGTATGTGTTTCGATGATGAGAATTATGGATTGAATTGATGTTGAGTGATATGTAAATCTTATGGCCATGAGAAGTGATTCATTAGTATGTGATGAGTTGATGAAATTTTGGATGAAATATGAAAGGATGGATGTTGAGTGGTGGAGTTGAATTTCAGCTAGGTTGGATGTTGGCTTTATGAAAGGATGGACGTTGAGTGGTGGAGTTGAATTTCGGCTAGGTTGGATGTTGGCTTTAGGGAGTTTTTGGCTCCAATTTTGGTGGCTTGAGAGAGATGTGGAAGTATAACCAATTTAGTGTTTGCATGTGCATGTAAAGTGTTTGATGAAATTTCAAAGAAAGTGCATATATGAGTATGTTAGATTATCACCTTGTTATGGTATTGTTGTTGGTAGAGAATATTAGTTTTATAATGATCTCTTTATATGCCATAATGCATTCTTATATTTGAGTATTTACATTTAGAAGAATAACAAAGAATAAGCTTATTTACATACACATATACATATATGAGAACATTGAAGAACAAAGAGAAAGAAAGAAAAGAAATTAATTGTAGAATCATTATTTAAAAGAATATAATTAAAGAATCCTTCCAAATCTGAAATTTTTAATTAAAGAAATATAAAAGGTTATAAGAGAAGGTTGTTGCAATGGGAAACCCGTGAGTGACAGAGAAGCAGAATAGCTTTACATGCACGCCGCTTTCAATGAGCGGCCTCAGAATAAGAAAGAAGATTTTGTACAGTCCGTTGGAAGTGCATGTGGATGAGGGCTGTACCCAGAAAGAATTTCAGAATACACTCACACGGTGAGGGTTCCAAATCTATGCCTTAACCAAGTCTGACCGGCGAAGCAGAATAGAATAAAGAAAAGAAAGAGAAAAAGAAAAGAAAGAATAGAAACATAAATAAAAGAAAGAGAAAAAGAAAAAGAAAGAAACACAGTAAAAGAAAGAAACAGAAAACAAATTGAGAAATAGAAGACTGAATAAGAAAAGAGAAAAACAGAAAAGAAAAAGTTACTTTTTAGAAGAAGTTATTCACTTGTGCATGTGCATTATGCTACTTCTACTATCCAGAGTTTTCTATTGTATTCAGTGACACTCCAGTTTCTACTAATTGTGCTTACATATCGGTAAATGAGAAACCAGAATAATAGAAATAACGAAGAAGAATAGAGAAGCTAGATGTAAAAAAAGAACTCCAGATTAAGAGTAACAGAGGAAGAATAGTAGTATAGTTGGTTCACTTACTGAGCAATTAGTGTTCACTCCGTTGATTTCACTGTTTTTGCAGGTAGTAGATGAGATGCGGTCAGGTAGAACGTCAAGTAGCGGAGGAGAATGGCAACACTGTCCGTTTGTATTTTGTGGTTATTTATGAGATTTTGTTATTTGATGTAGGGATTTTAAATGTAAAGTTTGTATTTGGGCCCTCTATTACATACTTATATATATAAATTTTCTATGAGATATATAGTGAGTTTACTGTATATCTTTTAAAGAATTACTAGCTAGAGAGTTTATTGCATTTTTTGTATTAGAGCCAGGTTTTGGGAAAAGTAAGAGTCTTTTATTAGAGTGATTTGACAGTGTGCCTCTCCCGCCGCATTGACGTACCGTAGCTGACCGTTGTAAGTTTATTTATTTTCTTACTTATAGTAGATGAGTTAACTTAGTTGACTAATAGTGTTGGTGCTATGTGTTTTAGATGAGACGTATGACTCGATCAGGTAATAACAATGCAGTGAGTATGGGTGAACCATCCAACCCGTCAAGATTTACTCCCCCTGTCCTCGATGAAGCGAGGATTCGTAATATGATACAGCAGGTACTGGCTGAGAGTCAGGGGAAATCTATATCGGAGAGAGTTGAGACACCAGTTGTTGTACCGACCACCCGAGAGGAGAGAGAGCGACCAGTACCCCCTATAGTACCGTGCTGTCTTGAGCCTATTTATGGGTTACCTAGTCAGCATCAGCCGTCAGTATTTAGAGGTACGATGGACCCAATAGTAGCAGAAGAATGGATTCGGTCCGTAGAGCGTACGACGACACTTTTTCCCATGACAGAATGGGAAAAGATTCGGTATGCCAATTTTCTGTTTCGGGGTGATGCCCGAATATGGTGGGAGTTGATGGAGGATACTCATGATATAGCCTCTATGACCTGGGGAGATTTCAGAAGATTGTTTGAGACAGAATATGGAATGGTTGATCGAGTTCATGAAAAGACTCAGGAGTTTATCAATTTGCAGCAGGGGACCAGTTCAGTGAAAGAATATTCCATAAGATTTAATTCCTTGGCGAGGTTTGCACCAGGTATAGTGAGCACACCAGAATTGAGGGTGAACAACTTTGTCTATGGGCTAAATCCAAAAATAGCTCGAGATGTGATGGTAGGAGCCCAACCCCCTCAGACTTACAGTGAGGCCTTGGAACGAGCTTTACGAGCTGAAATATTTGTGAATAAGTTGATTCCAACAACTCTATCAGCATCAGCTCCTAGTGTTCCACCTCTCACTCCACAGAGAGGTAGAGCTGATGTCTCCAATAATAGAGAAGCGAAAAATAAGAAAAGATTTCAACCCAAGAAAAATAGGAGGGATTGGCAGAATAAAAGGCCGAGGACTATTGATTTTTCCCCATGTCAGAAGTGTGGGAGATATCATCCGGGGGAGTGTCTTAAAGAATTGGGCCGAAATGTGTGTTACAAATGCCAACAGCCGGGACATGTGATGAGAGACTGCAAAGCCCCTCCTGCACCCACAGCACAGACGTCCAGAGGTACCAATGCTCGGGTGTTTACAGTAGCACAGAGTGAAACCGAGGTCAGCCCATCCGCAGTTACCGGTCAGTTACTATTTCATTCAGTTTCCCTTTATGCATTAATTGATTCTGGAGCCACACATTCATTTATTACACATGGGATCATAGAAAGATCAGGTTTGAAATCTACTATAATATATCAGGCCATTAAGATAGAATTACCAGACGGTGTTAGTGTGGTAACTCAGGAGATGCTTCTGAGGGAGCCTGTAGTGATCTATGGAAGGGTGTTGCTAGTGGATTTGATTGTGTTTGATAATTTTAGGTATGGATTTCCTAGGGAGATATGGAGTAGAGATTAATTACTGAAAGAAGAAAGCAAGATTTAATCTTGATGATGGAGATAAGTTTAGTTTTGGAGAGGGCCACCAACTTAGTATGTTGATTAGCAGTGTAAAGGCCAGAAAAATGTTAAGAAAATGGTGCTCCTGGTATATTGCCCATGTGGTGTAAAGCAATGATGTCTCACGACTAGAGATCCAAAGTGTGCCAGTAGTTCGAGAGTCCTTAAATGTATTTCCTGATGATTTGCTAGGTTTACCCCCAGAAAGAGAAATGAAATTTAGCATTGAGTTGGCACTAGGGACAACACCAATTTCTAAAGCCTATTATCGTATGGCCCCAATCAAGCTTCAGGAATTAAAGAAGCAGTTTGTATTTTGTGGTTATTTATGAGATTTTATTATTTGATGTAGAGATTTTATATATAAAGTAAAGTTTGTATTTGGGCCCTCTATTACATATATATATAAAAATTTTCTATGAGATATTTAGTGAGTTTACTGCATATTTTTCAAAAAATTACTAGCCGGAGAGTTTATTACACAAACATTTTCATTTTCCACGCGTGCAGTTTCTGCATTGTTTTGAACCCTCTGAGTTTAAAACAGTGGGTTCATATTAGAAGAGGGTTGTGGGTTATCGGAAATTTTTTTGTCTCTCCTTGCTTGCTGAAACTTGGTCATGGGTTCTGATGACTTATATATAACATGGTTCTCAGGCAGCAGCTGCCGAAGATGATGACGATGATATTGATCTGTTTGGTGAGGAGACAGAAGAGGAAAAGAAGGCTGCTGAAGAGCGTGCAGCTGCCGTTAAGGCATCTGGAAAAAAGAAAGAATGTAAGCTTCTCATTCTTGGTAATTTATTAATTTGTCTATTGTCAAGAAATTTGACAATCTTCCTTGTATTCTTTAGTTAAAAATTAAAATCTAAACGCCCTTGCTTTTTATTCTCAGCTGGTCAATCATCAGTTTTGTTGGGAGTAAAGCCATGGGATGATGAGACAGACATGAAAAAGCTCGAGGAAGCAGTTAGAAGTGTTCAGATGGAAGGGCTGCTCTGGGGAGCATGTATGTTCTTTCTCTACTTCAACCATAGTCTTGGCCATCTTTAATGTTGGGACCGAAACCGTCTTTCATGTGAATTCATTCATTTCTTTCGCTGGTTTTGCTCTCCTGGGTGGTACAATTTTATGTTTAGTTACATTTCCTTTTCTAAAATACATATTTTTCGTTGTCACAGAGAAACTTGTACCTGTCGGGTATGGTATAAAGAAATTGCAGATAATGCTTGCCATTGTGGATGACTTGGTCTCTGTCGACAATTTCATTGAGGAACATCTGATGTCTGAACCAATAAATGAATATGTACAGAGCTGCGATATCATTGCCTTCAACAAGATATGTGAGTATTTATATACACGAAAAATGTTATCCTTACAATGACTTATACAAAGAAGACTATAAAGTGAGAAAAAAAACAAAGAAAAAACGGAAAAAAAGAAAGAGAGAGAGAGAAATCATGAAGATCAAGGGTGGGGGTTGTCTTTGTATGCCCTTTTTGTATTTATCTTTGTAAGATTAGTACTTCTCTTATAAACACACTTCTGGGCTTTTCGATTTCTTCAAATCATACACACAAAATCTCTGAAGATGTACTTACACATTGTGTTTTCTCTTGTTACAGAATACGTGAATCCCTGGCGAGGACTGCTGGAGAGGTTTCAAGGACAGGTCTTGTGTGTTCATTATCGCTCAAAAATTATTATTATATATTCTATTAACGTATCTGTGTTATTAAAAGAATATTTTGTGTTTTTTGACAGACAAGGAGGAGCATTCTCAGCTACTTCAACTGTTGTGTTAAAGCCTAAAGAAAGCAAAGTAATGCCATGTTTTTTAGATGGTTTTGTGAAGTTTGTGTAATGAAAATGAAATGAAGAGTTGAATCAATCCACTTTTTTTTATGTTTTTTTGTTTAATTTCTTTTCTTCCACTCTTCTCCTTAATTGGGTTCTCTCTTCTTCTGCCACTCTTTTGTATTATTAATTGTTGCTCTAATTCTCAAGTTGATGGATTTCTTTTTAATGAAATTCCAACTACGTGGAGATGGAATTCTCGATACCCCAATACATAGAAATGTAGTATCTTTCTTTGCTCATGAATTATTTGAAGAGTCGTGACAATGGGTTATTGTAGGATAGTTTCTCTTAAGGATTAGTCATGCGTGTAAACTGATTCAGACACCTTATTTAACGAAAAAAAAAAAAAAAATTAACGTCTCTTTTCTTGGATAAGCGTAGAAGGTTTAATTTTGGAATTTTATTTTAACATAATTTAAAAGAAGACAATGAAAGTAATATTCTATATTGTATTAATTTAGTAATATATGGATTATGTTTAAGTTTAAATAAAATTAAAAAACTAATGTCGATCTTATAAATATCATAATTACGTCATGCTTTTTATGTTATTTATATTCATCTTTGTATTGATCTTCAACAAATCTATGATCTCTAGGACATATATTTGTGTTTTATTAGTGGGTGAAAAGAAGAAATTAAAAAAAAAACAATTTTCTTTTTTCTCATAACTTTTAAACTTAAAAAGTATTATACATAATAGGGTTATTGATATTTTTATAAAGAAATTTTTAATAATTTCACAGAGTTTTTAATAGTATGAGAGGGTGTTTCTAATATTTTTATAAAGAATTTTTTAATAATTTCATTGAGATTTTAACAATATGAGAGGGTGTTTAATTATTTCAAGAATATACGAATAATTTCTTATAATTGTGGGTGTATTTTAAATTAATTATTAATTATTGTATAAAAATATGCAAAATTATGTTGAATAACCCAGTTTTGGGATTTTAGTTAAAAAAAAATACGCTATTTCCAAAGCCTTTAATAAAATTACTATATTCTAAAATTCCTATTTTTTGAGAGATTTTCACAAATAAATCATTTTTCAATTCACACACACACAGAAAAAAAAAAAAAGGTTATTTATATAATTTCTTATAAAAAAAGATTATTTAATATAATTATATTAAAGAAAAAAAGTTTATTTAATATAATTTACTATAAGCATTTTTGTATATTTAGCTTTTTGAGACATAATTCAACAACATAAACGACAAGACAAATCTAGACTCTTCACGTCGACTCTCCTGCCTCCTTAGTACCCTCCTCCTGCTCGGCTGTCTCCGTAGTTCCCTCCTCCTGCTCGGCTGCTTGGGTCTCCGTCTCCTGTCTCCGTTTCCGCCGCCCCAAGCCTCCACACTTAGTAAGTTTACTTTTTTCTTTTCTTTGTTGTTGGTATTCATTGATTGATAAATGAGTTCAATTGTTTTTTACTTTGATTTTCTTTTAATGATAGTACTTTTTTTTTTTCCTCAATTTTTCGTGGCATTTACTCCTTCACAGGCTCCTAGATATTCTTATTTTAAATGTTTTATATTTCATTTTAAAGCAAAACCCGGCTGGTTGATTGAGCATATAGTGCGCTTTTGAGTACAGTTAATCAATGGTTTAGTTTTACTTGCATGAAAAATCAAAATTTTCAATACTCAATTGAAGATTTGTTCGAATAATAATTTATACTCTGGTTAAGGTTGCTGAATGTTTATTTGTTATCAAAGTGACTGGAGCTCTTATGATCTTCTGTACCACTTTATTATTTTCCTGATTAAAAAGTTTTTTTATTTTTGGGGTTAATTTTTCTAAGTTTTCAGTGCTTAAAGCTACTAAAAATGATAGTTTCTGTTGGAGATAGCTTAATGTTGCTATAAGTTTTAGTTTCTCAAATTTATGGTTCGAGTAAATGAAATGGATGCTTAAGTTTTGATTTCTATGATTGTAGTTCCAGAAAAAACCTCAGTTGCTGGAGATGGCAGTCGTGTTCGGTGATCTTAACTCAGCCACCGGTTTGAAGAAACTTGATGAGTACCTTCTGACTCGCAGTTATATTACTGGGTGAGTTCTATTTTGCCGTATATATGTCTGTGTGCTCCCAAGAATAGTGATGGTAATGATGGTTACTTTCGCCTGAAGAATTTTAAGCATTTTGCTGTGTTGCTCCTATCAGGTACCAAGCTTCAAAGGACGATATTACAGTTTATGCAGCTCTTTCAAAGGCACCGTCGTCTGAATATGTGAATGTGTCTCGTTGGTACAACCATATTGATGCACTTCTAAGGATTTCGTAAGTTCTCTTTTATTTGGTTGTTTCCCTGAAATAAGTTTGTCAGTGTTGTTTGAAGTTCTGTTTAACGATGGTGATGATTTTTAAGTTTCTTATACCTGCCTTTGTTTCATTTTTTCAACTATCGCTTGTTCTGCGTGTCTATTTCACTAGCTTCGACAATATTGCCATTTCAGTGGTGTTTCGGCAGAAGGGTCTGGTGTCACTGTAGAGGGATTTGCTCCTATCACAGAAGAGGAGATTGCAACCCCTCCAGTTGGTGACACAAAGGCAAGTAGTGTTCTGTTTTTATAACATGGAACTGCCTGTATATCTTTACAATGTAATTGCATGTGCCATTTTGTTTGACAGTCGTGCAAACATTTTCATTTTCTATGCGTGCAGTTTCTGCATTGTTTTGAATCCTGTGAGTTTAAAACAGTGGGTGCATATTAGAAGAGGGTTGTGGGTTATTCGGAATTTTTTTTTTCTCCTTGCTTGCTGAAACTTGGTCATGGGTTCTGATGACTTATACATGGTTCTCAGGCAGCAGCTGCCGAAGATGATGATGATGATGATGTTGATCTGTTTGGTGAGGAGACAGAAGAGGAAAAGAAGGCTGTTGAAGAGCGTGCAGCTGCCGTTAAGGCATCTGGAAAAAAGAAAGAATGTAAGCTTCTCATCTTGGTAATTTATTAATTTGTCTATTATCCAGAAATTTGACAATCTTCCTTGTATTCTTTAGTTAAAAATTAAAATCTAAACGCCCTTGCTTTTTATTCTCAGCTGGTAAGTCATCAGTTTTGTTGGAAGTAAAGCCATGGGATGATGAGACAGACATGAAAAAGCTCGAGGAAGCAGTTAGAAGTGTTCAGATGGAAGGGCTACTCTGGGGAGCATGTATGTTCTTTCTCTACTTCAACCATAGTCTTCTCCATCTTTAATGTTGGGACCGAAACCATCTTTCATGTGAATTCATTCATTTCTTTCGCTGGTTTTACTCTCCTGGGTGGTACAATTTTATGTTTAGTTACATTTCCTTTTCTAAAATACATATTTTTTGTTGTCACAGCGAAACTTGTACCTGTCGGGTATGGTATAAAGAAATTGCAGATAATGCTTACCATTGTGGATGACTTGGTCTCTGTCGACAATCTCATTGAGGAACATCTAATGTCTGAACCGATAAATGAATATGTACAGAGCTGCGATATCATTGCCTTCAACAAGATATGTGAGTATTTATATACACACCTCTGGGCTTTTCGATTTCTTCAAATCATATACACAAAATCTATGAAGATGGACTTACACATTGTGTTTTCTCTTGTTACAGAATACATGAATCCCTGGCGAGAACTGCTGGAGTGTTTTCAAGGACAGGTCTTGTGTGTTCATTATCGCTCAAAAATGATTATTATATATTCTATTAATGTATCTGTGTTATTAAAGAATATTTTGTTTTGTTGTGGATTTTGCTTCTAGCTGATTGTCTATCATGAGTAATTTTGTAAGTTTTAGACCATTGTAGCCTGAGAGTGGGTTTTCCTTGTCTAGTTAAACAATAATATTGTGTGTGAAAAAAACGTTTTGACTTGAATCTCTCTTTTTCTGGGTTAAAGTGCATCACTGCATATCTATAAGAGCTTAAATCAATCGGCTCAATCTCTTTTTTCCGGCAAGCCTATGCATGTCTTTGTAAAATCAAGAATTTCTCCTGATGCGAGCTTTACTTGAGCAAAATAGGAAGATTGTTAAGAGCTCAAATCAATAGAAGATCCAAATTTGTATTTGGAATACAAATTCTTCGTTGAAACGCTATGTTTATGGGTGTTTTGATGGTTTTATGTAAGAAGAATGCAAATTTTTTTATTAGATTTTTTTTTTTTTTTTTTTTGGAAAGTTGTACTCAAAATTAAGTTCAATCAGATTCAACCTAAACCCATTAAGCATTTTTAACTCAGAAATAATAAATCAATCTATACATTTTGTAAGACAAGAATTCAGGAACACGCCTGTATCCTACTGTAAGATTATGGTGTTAAGGTAATAGTTTACGGTGAACAATCTTTCCGAGAAAATTGAAATATCACTTTATTTGCGTATGCAATTAATAAAAGTCCTCATTGTTTTATTTTTTGGCTAAAATAATGTTGGATAATAAATTTTTATTCTAAAGTTTGGTTTAAGTAACATTTTTGGTAATTAGGGTTCCGTTTGGTTGGTTTTGGGAATACATTATTAGTATTCCCAAAAAAGTTAACAGTAAAATGCCCAAAAACTCGTAATATTATCCAATATTATTCAACTTTTTTAAATCCCTAAATTTGTTAATTTAATTAAATACCCCTAAATATTTTTTTTCAAAATTACAAAAACACCTTAAACCTATATTATACCAGATTCGGCCACCACTGCCGAAAGTTGGTCAGAACCAACATATGATCGTCATTGACATCAACGACGGCCGTATCTTTGGCCGTCGTGTGCGAGCAAATGCGGTCAGATCCACCATGGATTTGGCCGGCAAAGGCCACATCGACGCACGATTGGCAAGATCCTGCTGGTCATACGCGATACGACGACTTGGCCACCCTCGACGGTGGTGGCCGCGTGTAATTATTAATGGGTGGATTGAAAATGTTTTTGTTAACTTTCAAAGTTTTATTATAAAGTGTTAGTAAATAAACAAACATAAGAGGTATTTTCATAGTTTCCAAATACCATCGTAATACCCGTCCAATTTAACTTTTTTTTAACTTTTTCAAAAAACTTTTCTAAAAATGCAAAAAAGTGAACCAAACGGAGCCTATTTTTTGATAATTAGTAATATTTTGGTTCAAGGTTACTTGAGGGCGAAATTGTTATTTTTCCCTATAATTGTATAAACAGCACAGAACACAACGTACAAACAGTAAATGTATGAATGGATGTAGAGGCGACATAGAGAAGATATAATATGAGGTGGCATACATGTGCTTCATTGTGGGATATTGCTTAGCTATTTTCATCACAATCTTATTGAAGCTGTGCTATGACAAAACAATAATGACCACCATCGCACATTGCTTGATATGTGCATTTACACTACAATATAAAGAGGAATTGACTGAATTTGTTTTCTATGCCCAGTCCATCCATACATAAGGTTCTATTACGGTAACCAATAACGTTACTCTCATTTGACCATTTCTATTCATAAGCCCTATCAATTCATAAGGTTCTATCTACAGTACCTCAGCAATGCTACCCTCCACATAGATCGTTGTGTTTCCGATGCCCAATCCATTCATACAGTTCTATCTACGGTAACCAAATCCTCAATCAAAGAAGAAGAATGAATGGACTTGTAAATATATCCGAATTATATCATGCAAAAACGTATTAAGAGTGTTTTATCACATGTGAGAAATGACATAACTTACCAATAGGTCATCTGGTGACTTGTACAATGCGATATTCAGATTTTATAATGTAGATGAATGGATGCCTCACGAAAGGCGTAAAGAGAACAAGTGCTAAATTCTCTTAATTCTTCTATGTCATCAAATCTCATACACAACACAACATTAGGAATACTACTAACCAGGCAACGAGGTGAATCACCCAAGCAAGCGCTTGACCACAAATGGCTTACTTAACATCAAGCTTTTCTCTTGGCTCTCTACCTAATCTCATCACAGGATCTGAACTCTTACAGAAAGGTTTCACGAAGAAATTTGTAGCAGAATAAGATGGATTTTGATATTCCTCAATACACATTTTTGATAATTTGAACAACATCTTCATCCTCGAGTCGTGTTCCTGGTAAGAATAAACCACCAAATATAGATTTCAATCGGCGAACTGAATGAACATGGGCTTGGATAAAAATAACACAACTTTAATAAAAATAAAGGAATTGAGTATACGAATATCAGGTTTTAGAATCAAACCTTGCCAACTCTGGGGCTTGTGTTTCACGCTTGACCCCCATACCAGAGCACTGCATAATTTTTTCCACAGTCAGTACTCACTTTGAGAGAAATAAGCTAGAAAGATGCAACAGAAACTAAAAAAAGAAACGACATTCAGCTCACTAGAGCATCTCAAGGATATCAAGTAAAAAGGAAATGAAGTGGCGTTTTGCGGAAAAGAAAATCCTAACCAACCAAAAGTAAATGATGACAAATGAATATAAGTGTCTTCATCCAAAGATTTCCCCAATACAGTGTCAGCAGCATCTGTTGACTTGTATTTCTAGGCACAAGTGATACCACTCTATTTGATTATGGCACTTGATGATCGTGTTGCCAGCAGACATAAAATGTTCGGGAGCAAACAACTAAACAAATGTCCAGAAAGACTTCTGTGTAAGCCCTGTAAGCTAGACCTACTATTTCCTCAGTACACAAAAATAAACGCCGGACTGACTCCTATGATAACTCCTTGTGTGTACGAAGAGTGAAAACAACTAAACAATATGTCCAGAATGGACTTGGTGTTTTCAATTACTGATGCTCCCATCTTTTAAGAAATCAAAACTTTTGAAGTCACAAGATATGGGAAATAATACTCACTACTAAATTGTTTAAGCATATCTTTATGGATCTGTTGCAGAAGTCCTCAACCTTCCTCCTCTTTGATGACAGAATAACAGGGTCTTCATAGTCTGGATTCACCCTGGGCTTGGTGTATATGCGAGTCAAATTAAGATATTCCCATATCTTATCCAGAGGCCATCAAGGTTCCATTCCAAATGAGCACTGTACAAAGTCATGCAAATCAAAGGTTAAGACTAAACAAGCAGGCGAAAAGAACTCGAAAGCATTATACTAAACTATCAAAAGGTAAACTATACATCATTGCTTATACCACATAATGGTAAAATCTACATTGTAATGCTTCATTCAGCTGGTCAGTGTAAAAGACAGTTTAAGTAAGATATTAATATCCATATGAATTTTACTCCACCCACAATTTACAGTATTTATCTTTAATGAATTTCAACATGTAATTGTAAGGGAGTTTACAGATAAAGGGTTTAAGCAATTATCAGATAACAAAATAAATATAGTACTAACCTAACCGGGCAGTAGTGAGGAAGTTTATCCAATATCTCCAGCTCTTCAAGGGTGTCTGATCAATCTTGTTCACAGCATAGATGCAAGGCATATATATCCTACTGCCCTCCAGACATCGAGGGTCATCAGCGGTGGCATCATACTCAAAGTAATATCAGCATTGTGAATTCTGTACTCACTGCATATTGCCTTCACGGTATCTAAGTCAAGATGTGTGTTGGAACAGTTGAGGTAAAATTAATACCTCCCTTATCCTTCTTCTGAACGTCAGATTAGGTGGTTCCTGTTTAACCTGTTGATATAAAAAAATAATTAGATCAATATGAACAATAAGCAAGTATTCAGATGGGAACAACTGCAAAAAATTGGCCCAAATTTCAAACAGCAGCACGTATACAGATTTCTAAATTTAAATTACAGATTAGATCAAACTAAGTACCAAATGCTTCATGGATGCATGATGTCAGAGGAAAGAGTAGGCTACTTAAAAAAAAAAAAGGTACAATGTTTTTTTTTTTCAGAGCACACCAAAAAGCTTTGCTTTTTGAATAAAGATATTAAAAGCACAATATTACCTTATACCAAATCCCTCAAGCTCTTTCTCTATCAGACGCTTGTGAGTTATTGGCTTTATTGCATCAAGAACAATTAAGATACAATTACATGTCCTGCAGTGCTGATAACCTGGATTCCAATACATGACTTTTTCAGCATACTGATTTGTCAGAAAGAGGATATAAAGATGCTTATGAACCAGAACTATGCAAACTAAAAATGTCAATTAAACCCATAACCATTTATACTAATATAATAGCAGTCATACAGTACATCTAAACTTTTCCATACCTATAATATACCGCTAAGGTAATAACAGCAACGATTAGTATCATTCCATTCAATGACATTGACAATCAAAATAGTTGAGATTAAAATGAATAAAAATTCAACTCCTGGAAAGTGAGGCTCCAAAGGAATTATGGCCCTCATACCCTTTTACAGCACTTTGAAATGAACAATCAAACATGCAGGCTAGAAAATCCTAAAATAAAAGTAGAATAAACAATTTCATGACTTACTGCCTTCCTCTACCCTTCCATCCTTAGCACCCTCAATAATACCAGGCAGATCCAACAACTGCAAACATAAACGAAGAAGCATTACATATATCATTAAATTATTTCAACCCTGAGGGAAACAGGGGAACAAAAACATGTCAACCAATAAATATTCATTTGCACTCATACAGACACCATATTTGGACAGATAATAATATATAGTTTCCTAACATAATGTTAAACATTCACTGTCACAGCTAAATTAACATTATAAAAGGCCATGTCACTGCCCAAAATAAAAAGGAAAGTATAAATAATAGTACCTGAATTTTAGCGCCTCTATATGTGATCACACCTGGGATACAGGTTAAGGTAGTAAATTCATATGAAGCAACCTGTATATCATAACAAATAAATCACATCAGGAATCCATGATAATGATGAGCAACAAAGGGAAAGGTTTACGTAGGAAGAAGGGAGTAAGAAGCAGGGATAATTGCATTTAGGAGGTTAGAAGAATTGTTAGGAAGGGACAGGTGGCCTATGGAGAGTGGAGAGAGAGAAATTCTGTTATGAATAAACTTAGGTGCCAGGAGGGAATAAAAGGGGGAGAAGGGAAAAGGGAGAGGCCTTGAAAAAGTTGATTAAGGATGGATAGGGGAGGTGACTGACCTCAAAGTCAGTATTATATTTCTGTTTTCTTCTGTATTAGCTTAGCTTATTTACTGGATTCTCAGTTGTGGATTATTGTAGCAGAGTCGAGTATTTCGGATGTACTGTTTTGCTGCCATTATATAGAGAATTCTTGTTTCGATTGTGAGTGGGATTGGAACTGTAACTAGATTGTAGTGTATTTGATAAGTTGCAGGTCAGGATCTCATCAGATTATAACTTTGCAGAAATTTTGAAAAAGAATCCCAATCCAACACATACAGCAGACATAGAATGACAATAAATACACAGGTTTCCATATTGTTCAGCCAAGCCTCTATTGAATATATGGTACCCAACCACTGCAGAACAAGTCACTGGACAAATGCAACACAGTGCAGATTTAACAAAATGAAAATACTTCAAATATTGGCAGTCAAACTTTATCATATAAAGAACAACATCACTTCTCCCTCCTTTCCACTCACCTCAATCTCTTACAAGGCAGAAAAAATGTTACAATACAGAATTTTAACTCTATAGGCTTCCAAGCCTTTACAAAAAAATATATCTCAACAACATAAAAATCCACACTAAAAGAAATGAAGTTCACAGGTGAGACATGCATCACTCAACAGTAGTTTTCAGAATTAAACTTCCAGGAGGCATATCACACTAAGTTGATTTAGCTTGTGTTTGACCACAAACAATAGATAATTTAATTTTTAAACTAGTGATTGCAATCAAACTTTCATACATTTATAAACCAAAAACCACAGGCTGGTGGCATTCATGAACAAGTAAAAGATAACATTTACAAGATCAAACAACAGTTTCATACCTCGAAAATGTCTGTTAATTTGTTTAAAAGTGTAGATTTCCCCACGGAAGGAAACCGACAAGACCAATCTGCATCTCCACTTTTAGTGACATCAAAACCTTCACCACACCACCACATCTTTTGTTGTAGGCTCAAGGAGTTCCTTCGTAACTTTGCAAGTTTAGCCTAGGGCACCACATAAACAATCACATATCAGTAATATCAAAGAAATTTGTAACACCAAGAGCCAATGTGAAGAAAGCTAACATGAAAAAAGCACTGTGAATTATTTCTAATAGATATCAAAACGTATCAGAAAAGTTGGAACATTTCAAAACTTGGGCTCTCTGTCAAAGCACCTAAACAATTGCGGTCCAAGAGTCAAAAGTTCAACTTACTCGTAATTGAAAAGTATTAGTGAGCCATAAAACACAGGATGTAAACTACAAAATTACTCACGAGATAACTAGTATGAAACAGAATCAAATAAATATGTTTAAAAACAAGAAAAGAAAACACTGAAATTTGTGAGCCACCCTCAACTTCAAGCCACCTGTATACATTATCTACTGCCAATATTAGCTCGAGACTTTCTTCAATTAGAATATTTTCTTGTCCAATAATCAACATAACAAGCATATTAAGGATTGAAAGACCAAAACAATTTGGACTTGCTATAAGTAAACAGTAATCCCATAAACTATAAACAATTTGGAGTGCTAAGATATGAAGCATCTAGGAGCACCAAAAAGAAAGTACAATTTATTTCGTACATAAAACAAGCTTTACATATATAACTAGATCAGGTAATACAGGGTTTTTAAGTGCTTCTAAAGCAAACACAAAAAAATATCCTTCCATATCATAACATTGTTGAAGATCAACCCAAACCCATTGCAGAACCCAATCAATATTTTGATTTCAAACCAAGGAAAATAAAAGCCCAAACCTTTTATGTTAGTCCAAAACATAGAAGCTTATCAACAAATGTGGAAGAAAGATATTTTTAGAAAATTATAGAAGGATATAGAAAAGAGTATTTTTAGGAGAAGTATGTAGAATGTGGTAATAATGTGTGGTTAGAATTATTCTTAATTTATATTTAGTGGTGTAGATTGCATGATGAGGACTATAAATATCCCCTTGCATTTGGGTTAGGTATCCTCCAAAAATAAGTCTTTGTATTCTTAGTTTGAGGTGGTGTCTTGAGTGTGGTGTCTTAAGTGTGAGTTGTAAGCTTTCTTTTGAGTGTTTGTATTCTCTTCAAATTGTGAGTGGTTTTGAAAAGTGTTGTAGTATTTTTATTGTGGGTATGATACAAGTAATTTGTTACTTGTTTGGGTCCAACATAGTAAGTTTAGAGTCATGTACTCTAAATAATTAACTCAACAATTGGTATCAGAGCGGGACAGTAAGGAGCGTTTAGGTGGAGTTATCTGAGTCGTGCGAGTTTTGGTAATCGCAAGTTTGTTAGTCAAGCTTGTTCGGTATAGTCGAAGTCCTGTCGGCACGATGGGTGACCTTCAAGTAGTTGGAGGAATCAAAAGAAAGCTCACAACTCACACTCAAGACACCACACTCAAACTAAGAATACAAAGGCTTAATTTTTGGAGGATACCTAACCCAAATGCAAGGGAGGGTATTTATAGTCCTCACCATGCAATCTACACCACATAAATATAAAATTAAGAAATAATTCTAACCACACATTATTACCACATTCTACACACTTCTCCTAAAAATCTCTTTTCTATATCCTTCTATAATTTTCTAAAAAATATCTTTCTTTCACATTTGTTGAGAAGCTTCTATTGTTTTGGACTAAGATAAAATGGTTTGGGCTTTTGTTTTCCTTGGGCTAAAATCAAAATATTGGTTGGGTTCTGTAATGGGCTAGGGTTGATCTTCAATACTCCCCTTCAACACCAGCTCTCACTATTTTCACTTTGCCGAGTTGACAACAAAACATTTTGAACTTGCCAATGCTCAAGCCTTTTGTGAACAAGTCCGCAACTTGATCGTCTGTCTTGATTTGCCTCATCTCAATCTCTTCTTGCAGAACCTTTTCTCTGATAAAATGATCGATGCAATTCAGCAAAATCAGACTTGGGATCTGGTGCCAAAGCCAAGAGATGTGAAACCCATATCTTGTAAGTGGGTTTATAAGATAAAACGTTGTCCAGATGGGTCAATTGAGAGGTACAAGGCACAATTGGTAGCTCGTGGTTTCTCTCAACAATACGGACTAGACTATGATGAAACATTTAGTCCAATGGTGAAACTTACAACTGTACGAGTCTTACTTACACTTGCAGCCAACAAAGACTGGAATTTGTGGCAGATGGATGTGAAAAATGTTTTTTTCCATGGAGAGCTGGATCGGGAGATCTACAAGATCCAACCAATGGGTTTTCAGAGCCAAGATCATCCTGAATATGTTTGTAAGCTGCGGAAAGCACTTTACGGGTTAAAACAAGCACCCAGGGCGTCGTATGGTAAGATTGCTGAATTTCTAACACAAAGTGGTTATTCAGTAACACCTGCAGATTCCAGCTTGTTTGTCAAAGCCAATGAAGGAAAGCTAGCTATCGTGCTAGTGTACGTAGATGATTTAATCATAACCAGTGATGATGAGGCAGAAATTCTTCGGATGAAGGAGAATTTATCAATTCGTTTCCAGATGAAGGAACTTGGACAGCTCAAGCACTTCTTGGTCTAGAGGTAGATCGCACACAAGAGGGAATATTTCTTTGTCAGCATAAATATTCCAAAGATTTGTTGAAGAGGTTCAGAATGCTTAAATGCAAGCTGATTTCGACGCCAATGGAACCAAATGCCAAAATATGTGCACATGAAGGAAAAGATTTGGAAGATGCGACAATGTATCGAAAATTGGTAGACAGTCTAATCTACTTAACCTTGACTCGACCTGACATTTCTTATGCAGTTAATGTGATGAGCCGGTACATGCACAATCCAAAGAAGCCTCATCTGGAAGCAGTTCGACAAATATTGAGATATGTGAAGAGTACAATTGACTATGGTCTTTTGTACAAGAAAGGTGAAGACTGCAAGTTAGTTGGTTCCTGCGATGCTAGCTATGCAGGAGATCATGACACTAGGAGATCAACAACTAGGTATGTGTTTAAGCTTGGTTCTGGAACAATTTCTTGGTGTAGCAAGAGACACGTCAGATTAGGTGGTTCCTTGTTTAACCTGTTATGAGTATAAAAATAATTAATCAATATGAACAATAAGCAAGTATTCAGATGGGAGAACACCTGCAAAAAAATTGGCCCAAATTTCAAACAGCAGCACGTATACAGATTTCATAAATTTAAATTACAATTCATCAAACTAAGACCAAATGCCTTCATGGATGCATGATGTCAGAGGAAAGAGGGGCTACTTAAAAAAAAAAAAGGTACAATTCGTTTTTTTTCTCAAGCACACCAAAAAGCTTTGCTTTTTGAAAAAGATATTTAAAAGCACAATATACCTTATACCAAATCCCTCAAGCTCTTTCTCTATCAGACGCTTGTGAGTTATTGGCTTTATTGCATAAGACACATTAAGATACAATTACATGTCCTAGCAGTGCTGATAACCTGGATTCCAAAACATGACTTTTTCAGCATACTGATTTGTCAGAAAGAGTAAAAGATGCTTATGAACCAGAACTATGCAACTAAAAAATGTCAATATAAACCCATAACCATTTTATACTAATATTTTAGCAGTCTACAGTACATCTACTTTTCCATACCTATAATTACCGCTAAAGCGTAATAACAGCAACGATTAAGTATCATTCCATTCAATGACATTGACATCAAAATAGTTGAGATTAAAAATGAATAAAAATTCAACTCCCTGGAAAGTGAGGCTCCAAAGGAATTATGGCCCTTCACTACCCTTTTACAGCACTTTGAAATGAACAATCAAACATGCAAGGCTAAAAAATCCTAAAATAAAGTAGAATAAACTTTCATGACTTACCTGCCTTCCTCTACCCTTTCCATCCTTAGCACCCTCAATAATACCAGGCGATCCACAAACTGCCAAACATAACGAAGAGCTTACATATATCATTATAATTATTTCAACCCTGAGGGAAACAGGGAACAAAACATGTCAACCAATAAATATTCATTTGCACTCTAACAACACATATTTGACAGATAAAATATAAGTTTCCTAACATAATGTTAAACATTCACTGTCACAGCTAAATTTAACATTATAAAAGGCCATGTCACGGCCCAAAATAAAAGGAAAGTATAAATAATGTACCTGAATTTTAGCGCCTCTATATGTGATCACACCTGGGATACAGTTAAGGAGTAAATTCATATGAGCACACCTGTAAATCATAACAATATAATCACATCAGAATCCATGATAATGATGAACACCAAAGGAAAGGTTTACCGTAGGAAGAAGTGGATAAAGCAGGGAATAATTGACATTTAGGAGGTTAGAAGATTGTTAGGAAGGACAGGTGGCCTATGGAGAGTGGAGAGAGAGAATTCTGTTATGAATAAACTTAGGTGCCAGGAGGGAATAAAGGGGAGAAGGAAAAGGGAGAGGCATTGAAAAAGTTGATTAAGGATGGATAGGGAGGTGACTGACCCTCAAAGTCAGTATTATATTCTGTTTTCTTCTGTACTTAGCTTAGCTTTTTACTGGATTCTCAGTTGTGGATTATTGTAGCAGAGTCGAGTATTTCGATGTCTGTTTTGCTGCCATTAATATAGAGAATCTTGTTTCGATTGTGAGTGGGATTGGAACTGTAACTAGATTGTAGTGTATTTGATAAGTTGCAGGTCAGGATCTCATCTTTATAACTTTGCAGAAATTTTGAAAATGATCCCAATCCAACACATACGCAGACATAGAATGACAATAAATACACAGGTTTCCATATTGTTCAGCCAAGCCTCTATTGAATATATGGATCCCAACCACATGCAGAACAAGTCACTGGACAAATGCAACACAGTTGCAGATTTAACAAAAGTGAAAATACTCAAATTTATTGGCAGTCAAACTTTATCAGTAATAAAACAACATTCACCTTCTCCCTCCTTTCCACTCACCTCAATCTCTTACAGGCAGAAAAAATGTTACAAATACAGAATTTTAACTCTATAGGCTTCCAAGCCTTCACAAAATAATATCTCAACAACTAAAAATCCACACTAAAAGAAATGAAGTCTTCACAGGTGTAGACATGCATCACTCAACAGTAGTTTTCAGAATTTAACTTCCAGGAGGCATATCACACTAAGTTGATTTAGCTTGTGTTTAGACCACACAATAGATAATTTATTTTTAAACTAGTGATTGCAATCAAACTTTCATACATTTATAAAACCAAAACACACAGGCTGGTGGCATTCATGAAACAATAAAAGATAAAACATTTCAAAGATACACAACAACAGTTTCATACCTCAGAAAAGTCCCTGTTATTTGTTTAAAATGTAGATTTCCCCACGGAAGGGAAACCACAAGACCAACTCTTGCATCTCCACTTTAGTGACATCAAACCTTCACCAGCACCCACCACCTCCTTTTGTTTGAGGCTCAAGGAGTTCCCTTCGTAACTTTGCAAGTTAGCCATGGCACCACATAAACAATCACATATCAGTAATATCAAAGAAATTTGTAACACCAAGAGCCAAATGTGAAGAAAGCTAACTGAATAAGCACTGTGAACTTATTCTAATAGATATCAAAACGTATCAGAAAAGTTGGAACATTTCAAAACTGGGCTCCGTTCAAAGCACCTAACAATTGCTGGTCCAAGAGTCAAAAGTTCAACTTACTCGTAATTGAAAAGTTTAGTAGCCCATAAAACACAGGATGTAAACTACAAATTACTCACGAGATAACGTATGAAACAGAATCAAATAAAATATGTTTAAAACAAGAAAAGAAAACACTGAAATTTGTGAGCCACCCTCAACTTCAAGCCACCTGTTACATTACTCTACTGCCAATATTTAGCTCGAGACTTCTCTTCAATTAGAATATTTTCTTGTCCAATAATCAACATAACAAGCATATTAAGGATTGAAAGACCAAAACAATTTGGACTTGCTATAAGTAACAGTAATCCACATAAACCTATAACAATTTGGACTTGCTAAATATATGAAGCATCTAGAGACACCAAAAAAGAAGTACCAATTATTATTTCGTAACATAAAACAAGCTTTACATATATACTAATCAGGTAATACAGGGTTTTTAAGTGCTTCTAAAGCAAACACAAAAAAATATCCTTCCTATCATAACATGTTGAAGATCAACCCCAACCCATTGCAGAACCCAATCAATATTTTGATTCACCCAAGGAAAATAAAAGCCAAACCATTTTATGTTAGTCCAAAACAATAGAAGCTTATCAACAAATGTGGAAGAAGATATTTTTTAGAAAATTATAGAAGGATATAGAAAAGAGATTTTTTAGGAGAAGTTGTAGAATGTGGTAATAATGTGTGTTAGAATTATTCTTAATTTTATATTATGTGGTGTAGATTGCATGATGAGGACTATAAATTCCTCCCTTGCATTTGGGTTAGGTATCCTCCAAAAATTAAGTCTTTGTATTCTTAGTTTGAGTGTGGTGTCTTGAGTGTGGTGTCTTAATGTGAGTTGTAAGCTTTCTTTGATTGTTTGTATTTCTCTTCAAATTGTGAGTGGTTTTTGAAAAGTGTTGTAGTATTTTTTATTGTGGTATGATACAAGTAATTTGCTTACTTGTTTGGGTCCAACATTAGTAAGTTTAGAGTCATGTACTCTAAATTTAACTCCAATTGGTATCGAGCGGGACAGTCAGGGATCGTTCTAGGTGGAGTTCTTGAGTCGTGCGGAGTTTGGTAACACAACTGTACAAACAGTAAATGTTATGAATGGATGTAGAGAGCGACATAGAGAAGATATAATATGATGGTGGCATACATGTGCTTTCATTGTGGGATTATTGCTTAGCTATTTTCATCACAATCTTATTGAATGCATGTGCTATGACAATAACAATAATGACCACCATCGCACATTGCTTGATATTGTGCATTTACACTACAATCATAAAGAGGAATTTGACTGAATTTGTTTTCTATGCCCAGTCCATCCATACCATAAGGTTCTATCTACGGTAACCAATAACGTTACTCTCATTCTGACCATTTCTATTTCATAAGCCCTATCAATTCATAAGGTTCTATCTACAGTACCTCAGCAATGCTACCCTCCACATAGATCGTTGTTGTTTCCGATGCCCAATCCATTCATACAGTTCTATCTACGGTAACCAAATCCTCAATCAAAAGAAGAAGAATGAATGGACTTGCATAAATCATATCCGAATTATATCATGCAAAAACGTCATTAAGAGTGTTTTATCACATGTGAGAAATGACAATAACTTACCAATAGGTCATCTGAGTGACTTGTACAATGCGATATTCAGATTTTATAAATGTAGATGAATGGATGCCTCACGAAAGGCGTAAAGAGGAACAAGTGCTAAATTCTCTTAATTCTTCTATGTCATCAAATCTCATACACAACACAACATTAGGAATACTACTAACCAGGCAACGAGGTGAATCACCACCCAAGCAAGCGCTTGACCACAAAATGGCTTACTTACACATCAAGCTTTTCTCTTGGTCTCTCTACCTAATCTCATCACAGGATCTGAACTCTTACAGAAAGGTTTCACGAAGAAATTTGTAGCAGAATACAGATGGATTTTGATATTCCTCAATCACACCTTTTTGATAATTTGAACAACATCTTCATCCTCGAGCTCGTGTTCCTGGTAAGAATAAACCACCAAATATAGATTTCAATCGGCAAACTGAATGAACATGGACTCGGATAAAAATAACACAACTTTAATAAAAATAAAGGAATTGAGTATACGAATATCAGGTTTTAGAATCAAACCTTGCCAACTCTCTGGGGCTTGTGTTTCACGCTTGACCCCCATACCAGAGCACTGCATAATTTTTTCCACAGTCAGTACTCACTTTTGAGAGAAATACAGACTAGAAAGATGACAACAGAAACTAAAAAAAGAAACGACATTCAGCCTCACTAGAGCATCTCAAGGATATCAAGTAAAAAGGAAATGAAGTGGCGTTTTGCGGAAAAGAAAATCCTAACCAACCAAAAGTAAATGATGACAAATGAATTATAAGTGTCTTCAT